CGTACGTACGTACGTACGTACGTCGTTACGTACGTTACGTTACTACTACTCTCTCTCTCTCTCTCTCTCTCTCTCTCTCTCTCTCTCTCTCTCTCTCTCTCTCTCTCTCTCTCTCTCTCTCTCTCTCTCTCCTTGGTGAATATTGAGAACGATCGTTAGACGCGTCGTCGATCGCGAAACGGAATAACCGTGATTCTCCACGTTCGATTTCCACACGCGAGAAGAAATTATTGCGCAATTTAAGAATCGAGGGGAATGCGCGCGTTTCCTTTATTACGGGCTCCGTGCCCGTCCTGACAGGGATGAAAAATTACGCGTCCTCCCCCCTCCGTGAACACGAAATGAAAACCCGCCCCTCCAGGAATCCGCGTTTCATTCGCTAAAAACACACCCGGTTGATTCATATTTTATTCATGGGACGAGCAACCGGTACCGAGTCCCTTCCGACTTCTCTTCGCGAGTCGCCCCCTCGTCGTTTCGCCTCGCCCCTTTTTCCCCCAATATTGCGGCCGGTTGTAATGTTCCGCGACAATAACGCGCGCCACGTTTCAACCAGCTTTTCGAGGATTTCCCGCTGTTTCATAATTCAAATCGGACGAAAATTCTTTTAATGGATTTCGAAGACGAAAAATATCCCGCGTTTTCACTCGATTATCGGGCGACATTTTTCACGCTGGTAAAATTTTTCGTTTAAAGTTTAATTATTTTTAGCAAGTAAGTAAGTTCTCCCTAAAAAATTTTCACGGATAGAAGTTTCACAGCTTGTAAGTAATGAAGCTCGAATTTACGAATGTGCGACAGTTTTTACGAGGTCGTCGGTTAGAAATTGTTTGAAATTGTCAGTGATCGCCGCGAGTCGGATCGATAAAATTTCGGAAAATTCGGATCGTGAGGCGAGGTAAACGCGGAGCCACGATTTCCTAGGTTCCCGTTTAATTAAAACTTGTGGCAGGTGGCGGAGAATTTGTTTTTCAAGAGCGTGGAATAAATAAAGTTTCGTCGTTTATGGCAAGTTCCTTCGGATAATGAAGATTCCGGCGATTACTCGACCCGATACATCGAGTCGAGGGTTCTTGCATTAATTCGTACTTTGCTTGCCTGCAATGCTCAATTCGTGTCGCAAAAAGATGTAACGTCGATGATGGAACTTCGAGCGGTGATCGATTAAATAAAATAAAATCCGCTGTGCTTATTTCATTCGGTGTGGCCACTTCAAAAATCACGAGTACTCTCTTCTTTCCAGCGTTCTTCCTCCACGTTCACTCGTCATTCACACCTCCGCCTCGAAACGCTTATTTCGCCCCATAAAGTTCGCTCGAATAATTTTTAATTCGCAATCTCGAAATCTCTGTTCGAACTGCCACACACAGGTTTATCAAGATGGCTGGACGAAACTTATCATTAAATTCCATTAAATTCTAAATTCGAGTATTTTGAAAATTTGAACGAATTTGATCGCGGTGACACTCGTAAAAATGTTCCCAGCTTTTCGTTCCAACTTTTCTTTCCTTCTCGTTCCCGCCACGAACAAACGCCTCGAACTTACGTCAGCCGTGGCAAGATGTCGAATCGATTTACAGAGAAGCCGGTTAGTCGTGGCGGTCTTGGGCCGAAGCCGACGACACGAGTAACTCGGTATTTCAAAATTAACTTAACTTCCGCACCCTTAATTACGTTCTTGGCCCGGCCAACTTTATCAGCGTGTCGCTGCCCATATTGTTTGTTACCCCCGTGCCTCCTTCCATTAGCCTGCGCTCTAACTAAATTCTCCTCCTCTTCCACCGAGGACTTTCCGTTTACGGAAGCTTACGAGATCCGCGGATTACGGGCTGGCTCGCCTCTTACCCGCCTCTCGAACCCCGCTCAAAGCTGCTTAGAAACGCCCACGCGCCTAAAACCATCAAACATTTCTAATTCGATCCCCGACGGGATTCCAGTTTTCCAATCGCAATCGTTATTTTACCCTAATTGTTTCGATTCTCACTGTCTCGTTCCCGTTTCTTTGTATCCGCGAAATGGAAATCTTGGTTGTTGGTTACTTTAAGCGATTTTCGAATCGATTCGATGTATATTTTCGTTTAACACGAAATGATTTCGATCCGAAAGATTATTTTATTGCGAGCTCCTACGACTCGATGGGGATGAGATGATCGTTCATTCACACGGCGACGTTCATTTTCATTAGGTGCACCAGTGAAACTGTGGATCCGTGTGGATGCGGATTCTAAGCGATTTCCAGATTCGATTATCCCTTGTCCCGACTCTTAATTTAACGTACTGGCGTTATATTCGAGAATTTTATTATAAGGATCGCGACGAGAAATAGAGGGGGAGAGAAAGAATCATTCACGATTGGCGATAATTAATTTTCGTTGGTGGATTCGGCTAGTTAGTAGTCCGAGAGAGGTCTCGAGCCGATAGCTCGCCGAATAAATTAATTAATATCTCGCTTCGAGAGTCGAGTTGCTACTTTATTCGATTAACGACATCTTTGGGACAATGGTGCAATTAAGGCCTCCCCTCCCCGTCTCGAACAACTGGAATCGCAACGCGGATACCTTGTTTCATCAACTTTCGACAACTTTGCTGCGTGCAATCAGACGCGAAAAACAAAATCATTGAGTTGAATAGAGTTATTTCCAGAGCCAAGAATTAATTTGTCTGCAACGAGATTCGCGATTGACGCTTTCGTGAAAAAGCCTCTCGTGGTTACAAATGATCCGTGGATGGAGAGTGTCGATCGTTAATGGAGAGAGGGGAAGAGTCGCGGTCATTAATGGGCGAAGAGAAAGTCGGAAAAGTTGGTGAAAGTCGTTCTCGGCGTTGTTCCCTCCCTCGAAATTGATGCAGGGAGGGAAACCAGGCCGGTGTTTGATGAATTTCTTCGAAACGAGTTTTAATTGAAATTTATTTTTTCCCCTCCCTCGCGTTCATTACGCGATAGCCGAACGCGACGGTAATTGCGAATAGCGGACCCGTTCGAATTATTTCTCGAGCACTGTTCGGGCATTAATCGCGCTTTGGCTACGCGCCACGGCCGAGTGTTTCGCATCTGTCGTTCCATCGTTCGTTCGATCGTTGATGAAAAGAAGCGATTATCGTCGATTCGATTCGAACGAAGGATTGAAATATCGTTTAATAAATTCGATGCTCGTCAAAAATTTGGGGGAGAATTTTTCGCTCGAAGTTTTTCCCAATTCTTTTGACGGATAACGGGAAACGGTTATAAAATTGGTGCAAAACGCGACCAAGTCTAAAAAAATTGCTATGCATATTGATGGAAACATTCATACATGAACGTGTGCGAAAAAAGAAAAATTGGATATGTAATAAAATTCTTTTTCATACGTATATATATATATATATATCTCTTAGAAAAAAATTCGTAACGCAGCATCCGTCACGGCATAGGAAAACTCATCATGATACACATGTTTGCGTCATCTGCAGCGAATGTGTCAAGCAAGAGTAGTTGGTCGATGAACAATCGGGGGACAAAAAAAAGAAAAAAGGAAAACGAGAGGCTTTTCTCGTTTCAACGTGAATCGACCTCGCTCCAAAACGAAATCGGCGTTAAATTTATTTTTTAACAATGGCCTAATCTTCGTTCACTCTTCTTCTTCCCTCCCTTTCCCTCTCTTACTTTTTAACGATCTCTGGGAGGAGCGAAAATTTCTTCCTTCCTCTCCCTCCCTTGATTCATTCTCTTTTTCCAGCGCCATCGACGTCACTTTAATTCGCGACACGACGCGTTGGTATTTTTCCGCGACTCGCTCACAAAATGGACGCAGGACGTCTGATGAAGTATTTAAAAGTGTCATCGGGCGACGGATCCACGGGAATGATAATTCACGGAACGTTAATTCGATTCCCGGCCGACAATTGAATCTAGACAGAGGAAGGTAGGGATCGTTCACAAGCTCGAGTTGATGAAACGTGTCTATCGAAAAATTAAATATAGCGCGCGTGATCTCGACAAGCAATTTATGATGCTTGTTCATCGCGGACGCGCCTCTTTCTGCTTTTTTACCCTTAATTTTCCTCTCTCTCTCTCTC